ACCCACATTGTGGATCCTGGCTGCAGGGATTTGCTCCGAGAGCTTCAGTGAACCCTCACGGTTGCAGGGTTGCAAAAGGTTCTCTCACATCAAACTGAGATATATGTTTATGGATCTGGCTTTGTTCACAGGGGTATTGTCTTATGGAGACAGAGGAGGGACGAACACTAACAGTTGCCATAAGGATGAATAACACGACTGCATTTAGAGAAATTATTAAACGGGTAATTAGCAGCTCAACAGACTTTTCTTACCGAAACAGCTGCTTGTGTATGGATATGTTTCTCAGATTGGGGGCAGGTGCACACACCATGTCACTCTCCTGAAAGGCCCTCATGCTGGAGTCATTCAAAGTGTTGTCCACCCACCAGACAACTGGCCCCCCAGCACAGCCCTCTGATACCTCTGTGTTTCTGCATTGGTGGATTCACGTCCCCCTGTCCTGCGCTCCTCACATTCACTTTGATGTTTAATCCCATCCTGACTGTGTCCTCCTTCAGTCCGCCGAGCCGCTCGGCCAGTCATGAATATCCAAAGGTCTGCTTACTTGACAGGATTATCCCTCTTTTCAAAGCCACTGGGGACAATTCTTCAGCCACAGAAAACACACTCAATGGATCTTCTGCTCTCTCGCTTTGTTTCTTTCGCTTTTCCTTTACTCTCTCTCTCTCACTCCCTTCTGTCTTTGTCCCACTGGGCTTTTACCAAACACATTGATCCACCCGATCGGGTAGTTCATCTGCTGCTCCGCTTAGATTGTTAGACACACAAACACACACGCACGCACGCACACACATCACTCAGTCACGGTTTAAGCATTTAACTTCAGGCTGCACAGATCTCCTGATAATTTTATAAAGAGTTTCAGAGTTCCAGCAGATCTGATATTTGACCTTTTACATTCTGCCTCCTCAGAAAGACAAAAAGATTTAAAACCCTGAGGATTCATGTCCTCGACTTTGGGCCGGATTACAAATACTTGTGCTCTGTAACTACAATTCTGGACCCAACCTGTTAATACAAGAACTGCAACCTGACTCATACAAGGCTCAGATTTACGACATTTGTTGTCTTTCTGTATCCCTGCAATGCTGATGACACCCAACTACTCCAATAAAGGCTCGATGAGCAAATGTCTCAGCAGCTAAAGCTCAACCTGGACTCAACTAAACCTTTGAGCTTGATCACAGAAAACTGTGATTGAGGAGAGAACCAGGGCACACCGGCTCTAATGAGTTTACCTGTATATTGACACAGGAATCATAACCTTCACCTCGAGAGAGGATCAACGAGGAGGTTGTTCCCCAGGGACTCACCGCAGCTGATCCAGAATGCTCTTCTTCTTCTTCTTCTCCTACAGATTTGGAATCATATGTGATTTCAGCTCAAGCGTTTTGGGATAAAGTCAATCGAATTAATCAATCGAATTCTGTCTCTATAGCCCATATTCATAAAAATCACAATTTGTCTTTGTTGAAACCTCCGTGTGAGTGTGAGGGATCATCTCCCAGGACGAACAGAAGTTCAATAGATGCTGCGTTTAGTACAAATAATTTGTGCACGTTTGCCAGATTGGATCTTATTTCATTGCTCTGATGCAGAGGCCTGTATGTGCCAGGCCTCCTGAGAGGAAGTTCAACTGTCGATCGACACCAGCAGAGTTACGTGTCTTCTAACTCACATAGAGCTTCATCGTCGTCGTCATCATCATCATCATCACTGCTCTGGGAAACAAGAACACACGATTCATTCTCGGCTAAGCCTCCACTTGTTGCGTTTCTATTCAATACAGTCGGTGCTTTATGTGTGTTAGAGTACATCACAGTGTTTCACAGAGGTAAAGAGTGAGCAGATGAGCAGTGATGGAATAAACACCGGCCCCATGGGAAGGAGTGACCTCCGAGGTCTCATATCCACCTAAGAGCTCCATCTATTCCCTTGTAAGTGTTAAATCCTGCTTTTGTCTCTTACAGCTTCTCTGTTTGTTTATCTTCTCTCCTTTGCTCCATCATTGACTATGTTTCTCTTTCTGTTTCTCTTGCTCTGCCACCTTTGATGCATCCCTCCGATCTTTAATCCTTTCGGCTAACACAACATGATGCGCCGAGCTGAAAAGGGTGTACATCTGTGCAGTGTTTTCAGGAAGGTTTAAATCCAGTCACAACAGTGTAAGACTGATGCTCCCCTTCTGTCCTAAGTTATGAATATTTAAACTGTCACAGAACCAACCTCGGACTCGCAGCATCAATGGATAAGTCAGCCTGCCACCAACAGTGGATAAGGAGCTGTTTATTCAAATCCAGACACAGGGATGTGAAGCCCAGCTGCTATTGACCAGATCTTCCAGGCTGAGCTGAAAAGATGCTTCTCACAGTTTCTCTTTTAACTTCAGCACCATGTTTATCTGGGAGTTTAACAGAAAAACTTTCTCATGAGTGTCACATGTCGTTGTTTCGACTTGTCTCCATCTTTAAAAAAAACATCTTCGAGATTCACTGACGATTAAATGAATCACCCACAAAACAATGTATTCAAATTATCTTTCTGCACCACAACAATTAAACAACTATTTAGTTTAAATGAGTTTAGTTTAAATAACTGAACCTTCATTGGAATCGTGAGTGAATGCAGATGCTTCGACGAAGGGCATCGTGGATCGAGTCAAGAGTTTGACAAGTGTGAAAATTAAGGCTTTGGCAGCAGCCAAATCTTAATCCATTTAAAATACGACACAACACAAGGATATGATAAAATACAATCAACATGACACAATGCCCAATCCACATTTCCTCTATGTGCATCATCCAGCATAGATGTGTGTGTTAGATTTAAATACAACTGCACCGACTCTAAAGTTTGTTTCCCTGAAGTTTGAATAAAATCTTTAGAAGAGCGTCGTTCGTCTCTCCGGTAGATTTCAGAGACTTTATGAAGAACAGCACTGACGCAGCTGTGAAACCAAAACTAACCAAAACGCTGTTTGTTTGTATAATTTTGACTTCCTGACCACTGAAGCTTGGACTTTGCTGTTCCTGAGTCTTTAAGAGCAAAGGAGATCATTGTCGGAATCAACACTAGACAGAGGGCATCATGGGGGAGAGGGCGGCCTAATTATTTGAGCAATCCGATCCTCGGTAACTCATGATAACTGCATTTTGTGCTGACTAATGGTGCTTGGAAAACTCTGGGGGAAAAAATACTTGCAGTAAAACAGATGTTCTAAAACAATCCCACAATTTAAGGGCGTTGTTGTTTTTACCTCCAGGAGATTATGTTTGTCAGTCTATCAACAGGATTACAGAAGAACTACTCATAGAAGAATCCATAAACTTTTGAGGTCTTAACTTTCTTTTACATGATGACATGAGTGCCGTCCTTCGTGAGGTAAACGCTCCCTCACTATTTGTTGTATCTGCTTGTGCTCATCTGTCGACTTGTGTAGCCGTGTGAAGCATTTAAGTCTGAAGCTATACCTCATTTAATTAATTCACCACTTGACTATTACCATTATGAATTCATTATTGTTTATAATATTTAAGCGTGGTTACTTGATCTCAGCCACTCTCATGTTAAACTGAAAAGTATGTTGACATAATAAAAGACAAACCTTCCTGAGAGAACACATGAGCAAAACCTTATTCATAATTCTTCCTTTTTTGGTGGGATGGATTCTGCGGATGTCCGACAGAGTAAATATGATGTTGAACTGAACGCTGAGTGATTTTAATCAAATTTTCAAATAGTAATATAAATAATTCCTTATTTCTCTATTTTTCTGGTATGTAAAAGTAGTTTCCACAGGCTGAGACTTTTTAAAGAACGACCTGTAAGCAGACTGTATTTCTGTTGCATTGCATCGACTGACCTCTTACTCTTTGGAACGTCCTACAGAACGCTGAAGGACTTTGAATAATTCAGTCCCAGTAATGAGACGAATAAACAAATGCGTGGATGAATATTCAGAGATTCAGTTCATATCGTTCCAGCTTCAAAAGCCTTCGGAAAACATTGCAACAGCATTCACAATCTGCTGTGCAGCTGCTGCCTTTGCCCAAACTGTGCACCGGCCTTTGCTCGTCACTGTGGCTTCTTATACTGCAACAACAACTTTGTGAATATATCAAATGACTCAATAAACAGTTCTTCGTGGACGCCCTCTCGTTTTAAAGATTATAAAACAGAAATGTTTTCAGAATCGGATAAATATCAATCTCTTATGCTGCAGGACGAACCTCCAGACGTGCAGGTGGAGTCATTGAAGGATCTGAACCATCATGCAGGAGACAACTTTGATTTAAAAGCTCAAACACCACAACATCACAAAACATTAACATTATATAAAACCTGTTTTCTTTTATCTCATCTGTTGATTGTAATTAAGAAAAAAATATTAAAGAAGACACATTTTCTGACATGCTCAAAATCTACG